TTTGCAGTAATAAATTTACGTGGTGTTTCCACAAACAAAACTATTATATAATTTATATCTTACTTAACACGTTGTAAATATCGCCTTATCAGGTTTTTACGATAGTTTGCACATTTATTTGACACCTTGTCAATAGTTTTCTTATTACCTTTTTTACCAATGTTTGTACTACAATATTTTATACACGCCCCACGTGGTATGCAGCATTTGTTGACGTGTCAGCGTGCCTAAATAAAGCTTTCTAATCTAACTAACTAACCCCGAGTCAAGTTGCTCAAGTTGAAGAAGGCGACTAAATCCTAGGATAACAAAAACTTTAAAGCAAGCTTCTAACTTGTTTTAGTAATAAACGTAAACAACACTAATTAAGCACTATAAATCAAGCTTTGAACGACTGGACCCCGATGGAAATGGGAGTGTCATAAAGCTATAGTTTTCCAAGTAAAAAAAATACACCCTTCCTCAAAGTACTGCGACATTAGCTAAGACGTCTTTGTCACGAAAACAAGACTCTATAGCCGCCAAGTGACCGGAAAGGTGTGTTTCATCACATGCATGAAACGCAGGCAATATTTAGAAGGAATACAAACATTTTATATTAGTTTGCGAAAATCTGTCTCAAAGTTAAGATGTCTGCAATCGTGAGTGGCGTATTAAATTCCACCATCGGTTTATTGTGCAGTAAACTACGAGATTACACTGCAAAGAGATTGAACGAAGGTGACGCAAACGATGAAAAATGCAGACAGATCATTGTTCGAGAACTCGATGATATTAAATCGAAACTCGACGGTCTGTCCAGAAAGGATCTACTTGCCAGCCTCAGTTTTTTCAAAGAAGGTGTCACTAGATTGTATACTTCTCTAGAGACATCTGTTGAATCTTGTGATGGACCCAGCACCTCACAAGCACCCGTAGAAGACCAATCTGAAGTCGAAGGTGCAACAGCGATGATTCCAGTCACCCAAGCTGAACACGATATCGTACAAAGGATTTCTGAACTTTCCGATCTCATTGGGAACTTAAAAATCGCATCACAGGATCGCTACAAATCAGCCAAGGAGTCTTTAAAAGAAGCAAAAAGACTAGCAACCGAAGCATTCAACAATGCAGCGTTGAGCAGCGAAGATAGATTAATGGCAAGCAAACTTCGTATTGCCAGCAGAATCCTCGAATGCCTAGACGATCCTGAAGCAGCCGTTCGAGATTGCTTACTCTATCTGAAAGAGCTACACGATTTACCTGCCGTACAAGCAATGTTTTCTGTATGGTACGATTCAGGTAAAGGGATTACATCCCGCTTACGAGCTCGCTTCAACAAAAAGAAAAGGAATGTCAACGTAGATTCGATACAAATGATCAATGCGTTATTGATAGATCTGGCTACGAAATTTACAAACATTAGCATGGGATCCGGATGTTTAAGCTGGCCTACGATAAAGATTGGCAAAGAAATTTATCACCCAATTTTGAACAACAATGCAGTTTTAGGAGAAAGGGAAAAGAACGACATGCAATTTACTTGGATCTGGAAGCTTCCTGAGCGTATTGATTACCATGGTTGCGCGCTCACTGGTAATGGAGAAATACTATCATTAAGATCAAATCGCATAAGTCTTACACTCACAAGAAAAAACGGTGAATGCGAGTTGTTTTGTACCATTCCCTCAGAAAACGATGGAGATATCCTGAACGAAATACGCTGTCTTGCTGTCGATGAACATGATAACGTATACACCGTCATTGAAATCCCGTCCTGCTACGAAAATGTTCCAACGAAATACAAATTATTAACCTTTGATGCGAATGGGAACGTAAAAGCGGACAGATCACTTGATATTACTGAAGAAACAACGAGACGGCTAGAAATGAGTGTGACCAAAGAAGGTTTGATTGTTATCTACTGTTGTGAGAGGAACACCATGTATATCTGCGACATCACAAACGCCAAGCCAGACTACGAATTTCTACTGCCCTGCAAAAATGTAAATCCCGACGACATTCACGATTTTAGTTTTACTGTTTCTGATAAAAATGAAATCATTTGCACTATTTCCAAATATGAAAACCTAAAATGTTTTTACATGTACATCATTACAATGGATGGTAAGCTGAAACGTGCAGTGCAAGTACAAGCTAAACATTCAGAGGAAAGCGAAATGAGTGTTGTCTTTAATCATGTCAACGAAACTATTCTTGTCAGTTTGGAGAAAATTTATGATGATGAGTATGATTATTATGGCAGTGATAGTGATGACAGTGATGACGATGACAGTGATGATGACAGTGATGATGATGATGAAAGTGATGATAACAACAATCGTTCTACTAACATTGATTTTCGTAAACACGACCACACTACTATCTACAGTTTTTCAAACACTGGTGAACTGCTCAATAACTTTAATATTCCGGATTGGTATGCACAGCTGATATCACATCCAAATGGACCTATTGCTTTAATGAAACACACTAAAGCAGTTATAATCCAAATGTTATAATATAATATAATATAATATTGGTAAGTTTTGGCCTTAGTTAACTATATATGTTCATATATAATGTAGCTAGTGTTTGGTACAAAACTCAGAATATGGACATTTTATTCAACTATACTATGTTTTATACATTTCGGCTATACTTTAATCTTCAGCAGTAAATAGCATTGAAATATAGTCCTCACGATGTATTACAGGTAAACGACGTGAAGCGTTCATAAGCGAAAATAACTCGGTGGTTCAGTAATGCTTGGTTATTCCGTGACTTTATAGTATACAGAACTGTATTGGTATTGCAAAATTTGATTGAACTACTTTTTATAATATTTTATATTTGAAGCAGTAAATAAGCTGTAGCCTTAGTGTGGACAGACTAGTGGAATATTACTGCCAGAAAATTAATTACACTTAAATATTAAATAGAATTGACCAAGTAGTAAGAGGGGGGTAAGGGGGGTAAAGGGAGGTGTTGTACAACCCCCACCTTTTGCTAAGAGTGTCGGTAAAATCGGAAAAAGAAAGACTGATTGGCAAAATAAGGGAGAGGTCATTGGTAATTTTTTTATACAGCATCTTTATCAAGCACTTATATGTTGCTGTCTCAGTTTAATTTACAAATATTTTACAATAAAGACTTTTAATCAAATTGAATTGCACTGTACTTTGGTACTGTTAATTAGACCTTAATACTGTTAGTCCTTACTTGAAGAAATAAATAAATAAATAAATAAAATTACATATACAGTCGACCCCTCGAGGATCGGCTTTGTGGCCGCTTAATAGAGGTGGCCGCTAAATAGAGGTACTACAAATAATAGACCCTGGGCGTAGTCAAATGTCTATTTTTAATTATAAATCACAGAATACAATAGTGATTTTATCTTTAATTCTCAGTTTCATCTACTATAACATTTTTTTCATAGGTATACATGTGCCAACAACACTATCATATTTCACACTAAACCTTTTGATATAACATTTAGGGACTATTGTGGCGCATAAATTTATTACTAGGACACCAATATGGTTCTCATGACCTATATCTAAACCTAAAAATCCTGCAGGCTGGCCGCTTAATAGAGGTAAAAATTGACATAAAACATAATTTAGGACCGCTCTTTGAGTGGCCGCTGCCGCTTAATAGAGGTGACATTTAATAGAGGGATATAGTTTATAGTATTTGTATAACAAAAATTTCGGGACTTCGATATGTGACCATTTAATACGCTTAATGGAGGGCGGCTTAATAGAGATTGGACTGTACTGTATATCATTTTAAATCTACATACTGGTGCGCACCCAGTGATGACTGGTGATAAATCAATGATGATGATGATGATTGTAATGACATTGTGTAAACATCAAGATTTTGTTGACATCTTGAATGAATGATATTTGATGGATATTGTAGATGAAAATTATCGAGTGGAAATTTATATATATTTATTAGACCTAACCAGGAACAAAAACAAAAAATGCAACTTTAGGTCCCTGGCAGGAATCGAACCTGCAGCCTTACAATTCTGGTGATGGCGACAGTTGATGTAAGGTACAGTAGTGACAATATTTATGGTTGTGATGATGATAGTTGTGATGATGATAGTTGTGATGGTGATGACGATGATAATTGTGATGATGATAATTGTGATGATGATAATTGTGATGATGATAATTGTGATGATGATAATTGTGATGATGATAATTGTGATGATGATAATTGTGATGATGATAATTGTGATGATGATAATTGTGATGATGATAATAGTGATGATTATAATTGTGATGATGATAATTGTGATGATGATAATTGTGATGACTGATGATGATGATACATGTGATCACTGATAATAATGGTGGTGGTGGTGATGAGGTCATGATAGCAGTAATGATGGTCAGCAATTTGATGGAATACAACACAAGGACATTGTTATTATTTACCTAAAAGTTGGATGAAATAGTACTTTCGTTACAGGACTTCTATGACCAGTCAATGTGTATCTATAAAGAAAATTCAATGCAATGCAAATTATCATCAGTAAAACACTTCACTAATGGCTCCTAAATGTTTCGATGATTGTTCTACTGTAAAAGTTGATATGTTCACAGTAGTGATTAATGAACTAGTTTAAGCCAAAAAAAATGTGGGTTTCCGGTTTCCTTTTATAAAAACTTAGGTAGGGTAGGTCGGTTTTAACTTTTTTTTTAAACTTTTTTTTCCCTAACAACTGGACCCCATTTTGTTTAGTCAGTGCTTCCACATTCAAAGATAAATTTCCCTAATATTGCCTCAAATTTCAATTTTCCACAAACTTTTCCCTCTAAGTGGAAACACTTACAAGCATGATCCAATAAAAAAGTTTAGGGTCGGGATTTCGACGTCTAAAAGCTAGGTAGGGTTGGGAAACCGGAAACCCACATATTTTTTTTTGGGCTTAGTGTTGCATGATAGAACATTGAGCTGATAGACGATCATAATTACAACTTCAATTGTCTGTACCAGTTTAGGTAGTCTCAATAATAACAAAACTTCGGTTAGTAGATGTTTGGTGTGATGCAACTCAAGGCCGGATTTTGGTGGAAATGGTGGGGGAGGTGAAAAAAAAATTTAGGGGAGGTGCAGTAGTATACCTCATTCCGAAGGAGGTCTGTATTTCCCGCACGTAATACAATATGACTGAAAATTGCAAACTTTGCAAGGCTGTATTATCTGCATTTTACAACATTTCGGAACGAAACTTGGGAATATTACTAATTTTGTGATGCTTTTTCAAGTTGTGATGAAATTTTTGTCTAGACTTGTTGAGCTCTGACCAAAAATGTCAAATTTTCACTTTCACCTATCATTGAAACTTTCCCAAGAGGTGCATGACTTTTCAAAGGAGGTGCAAAAATTCCCTGGGGAGGATCACAGGGGAGGTGCGCACCTCCCCCCAAAATTGGGTCGTGATGCAATTACCTGAAAAATACAAGGACAAATTCGCTTGAAACGTCACATTTCTGCTTGTATTTTGCAAGTAGTTGCATCTCTACCAACCAAAGTTTGTAATCATGATTACATCTGACGTGTGTTAAAAATGACTGAAACACACACCTTTCAGGAGGTTTTGGTATCCAATCTGCTGCTGATCGACTCTTTTTATTTCCACCTAAGAAACACAAATCATAGTTGTCATCACACAGTTTCTTTGAGACACTACAAAAGAGGAACACACTTCTAAACATATGCAACCCAAGAAAAACCACAGCTACATGCTGAAATCTTTATGATTTAGGTATTTTTTCTACATAATACTGTATACTATCAATTATGCTATTTCGGGAGGGATGCTGAACTTCACACGTGGCATAGATAGCAGAAGGAGGTAAACATAGGTGGATCTACCTGGGGGCATCCACATTAGATGTGTGCTTGTGTTGTAATTTAAGCTGAAATGCTGCTTTTCAAGATGATTTCAACAAAATAACTTTTCCTTATCACTGGTAGGTTCACTTTAAGACGATCACCTCTGCATGATCATCATCTTGTTTAGAACATTCTATTTATGTTTCTTCATTTTTGACTAAAATACAAGTACTGCGAGAGGTAGTACATTTCTAGTCTTCAAAATTTTCTGGGGGGGGGGGGGCATGCCCTCTGACCCCCTAGTAATACACCCTCCTCTGCAAAACCTTCATTCTCTCTAACAGATGAGCCTGGATCCACCTTCGGAAGTAAAACTTCCGCATCCCACCTTTGAGCAATTAAGATACAATTATGTTTATTTCCAGCCCTTGTACCTCCAAAATGGACCTCCTTTTCAGCTTCAGCCAATTTTGATTCTAACTCCATAACCTAAAAACAAACAAAATGGTAATTATCTCTATGGAAGTTTCCCTCTTTTTCGGTTTTCTTTGACACTTGATATATAGTAAATTAAAATACTTACTCAGGCCTTAAAATATCGGTCGGTCACGGACATTGTCCGACCCATTCGTCAAATTGTCCGACGTAGCGAGGAAACCGCCGGACATTCTGTCCGACCTAAGTGAAACTGAAGTTTATTCTTTGTCCGACCCGAATGTATTGATGTCCGACCGAACTGTAGCTTTGTCCGACGCTTTCTCCATGCGCGTAAATCGAAATGTACCCTAGTCCAGGTCTAAAGGCTTGTATGTTATAAATGGAGAACCAGAGTATTGTATAAAAATGAACTGGAAATGTTGTTTTTAATGTCATCGAGCGC